CGTCCGTGATGTCCGTCTTGTGTGTGTGTGTGTGTGTGTGTGTGTGTGTGTGTGTATGAGTGAGTGGACGTACGTTGATTTTTATTATAAACATGTAATAAGAATTAACTTCTAACATACTGCAATATGACCTTTGTAATTGTCCCCTAGAGTAACCGTGTCCATTCCGATATATTTTGTTTCATGTACTATGTACTGATAATGATATACAATATATGTATGTACGTGTTGCTTGGAGAGGTGGAGGAAAGAGGGAATCGTGAAACGATTGAGATTGAGAGAGAGAGAGAGAGAGAGAGAGAGAGAGAGAGAGAGAGAGAGAGAGAGAGAGAGAGAGAGAGAGGGAGAGAGAGAGAGAGAGAGAGAGAGAGGGAGGGAGAGAGAGAGGGAGGGAGAGAGAGACAGAGAGACAGAGAGAGAGAGAGAGACAGAGAGAGAGAGAGAGAAAGAGAGAGAGAGAGAGGGAGATCATATCAGCTGATAAGGTGCTATGCATTTTATGTCACAGAAACTGGTGAAAGCACATTCTTTCCCGTGGGGAAGCAATAAAACATATTATATATAGACCCATCTAATCTTATTTTATCTTATCTCATCACATTTAATCTTATACAGGGGTCTGATGCAGCAGTAAAGTGCTTTACTGTCGTATGAAGGAAATCTGAGTCCAATTAAACGGAGGGGAGAAAACTTGTATAGAGTATTTCGGTCTTTCTGCTGGGATGTTGTATCCCTCTAAGCCCGGGTCAGAAGCCCGTCTCCTTTAGTTTTAGTAAGAGTTTTACGGCACTTGCAACACAATAAGGTCATATAAGTGCCGACGATTAGAAGTGTTACAAGAGAGTAACAAACATAAAAAAGAAGGAGGGGAGATGGAGAAGATAGATTTTTTTAAAAATAGAAAAGAAGGAGCTGACCACACCAGAGCACCCACCAACCAACCACCTACATTATACGCTGTACAAATTGTCTGAGGTCTTCAAATTGACGTTACCCTGTATACTTTACCCTGGCTAACAACATGATAATGGACAATATAAAAATCCACATCCCTTGTGTTAACTTTAACAATTAGTACCGTAACAAAATTGTATTTGTTATTTATAGTAGAGGGTTTTACGGCGCTCGCAACTGCATAAGGTCATATGAGCGCCAAGGGGTGGGTGTCAACAGATACGTCTTTACAGAGAATCAGACTTAGACTACTCACCTCTCTAGCTTCAACAGCACAAGGTCTGCTTCGACTATCAAGGCACCCTGGAAATAGCAGGTCACAAGAGAGTGACAAACATACAAAAGAAGTAGAGGAAAATTACTATAGTAAGGATCAGGAAAGAAAAAGCGGCAGTTCCCTGTAGTAGTAGTAGACCAGGAACGTGACATGAGTCAGCCCATTTACAATTCTACTATGCTTGAACGAGAAATGTCCCCCCTTTGGGAATGGCTTAAAGACACTACAGTCAGTGGCACTGCCCTGGGGGGTGCAACATTGTATGAATATATTACACGTAACAATTGATTGTACAGCAGTAATATACAATAATACACTTTTATTATTATAGTATATGTACGGTATTACACACTGCAGGGAAGAAGCAAGATAGACAGAAACAACAGACGTAAAGACAGGACACTCGTAGGACCTACCAGTGGCGCACTCCACTCCAACCCCCCGCAAAGAGCAAAGGAGGAGAGACAAGGAAAACAGATGTGTGACAGGAAAGAAGGAGCAAACCACATCTGAACACCTGCCAACCACCAACACTATTTGCATTATAGAATCAAAAGAAACAACAACAAAAGCAAACAAAACACAAGAAACTAAGATCATTTTCATGCTCTCACTTTGTTTATTCTGTACATCATTATCAACAGCTGGTCCAACAAGGTTTTTTTGAGTAAAGAGAAACACATCGACATAATACATGTAATAGTCATTTAAACCATGAACATACATCACAATCAATAAATTAACAAAAGTATCATTCACCTGAAAGCAAACAGAAACATTTTTTAAAAATGTATGTCTTCTCTATGCCCCTATCGACACTATTTAGATAAATTTACACACATTACACCCTAACTCGCCCGGGATCGCCCGGGAATTCCCTTACGCGCTCCACCCTGACTCGCCCGGAACCGCCCGCGCCGACCCAGCGTCTGTAGAAACGAAAGTCTCGCCTTGACGAGACTCTGGGGCCGGGATTTTGATTTGCATAGTATAGCAAAAAGTTTCTTCTTTCGTTTGATACCGAAACGAAATTTTTCGGGCTAGTAGTTTTAGTATTAGAGCTGATCGAAGTGCGATCGCGTTACCGACACTTCGAAAGTGCCTCGACTTGTTGAAAAGCGACACAATTGAGTTCGAAAACGTAAATAACGATGGATTTGAGCAAAAACGAGCATGTGACAAATCAGATGGCTCAGATTTTGATGAAAACGTTGTAGGAAGAGTTTGGGGCGATTCCGATTGATCAGACGGAGAAATTATAGAATTTAGATCTAGGGCCCGACCGCGAGGCTGAGAGTGAGAGTGACGGGTCGGACACCCCGATTGAACTAAAGTGAGAACATTTCCAACAGTTTGTGCATACATAAAGTTATATTTTTCTGAAACTACATTCAGTTTTCTTTTTAACTTTTATTTTTTCAGGATTTTTGGAATTTGTTTAGTATTTTTAAAATTTGTTTTTTAAAGGCTAGTATTCAGGGGAGGTGGGTTCTTTCCCCTTGCTTAGGATCTAGGAATGGACTTCCCGTCCAGGCCCTTAGGGTGTAATGTGT